TCTGTTCCTTAAATTGAAATTTTTTGTTCTGTAGGAATTCCAGTAACTTTTGTCTTTGTTCCTGTTAATTCATTCATTAGATATTGAGCCTTTTCCCCTAGGAAAATATAATGGGTTTGCTAAGTGGGCATTGCTTTCCTAGCAATGCTACTGTGAAAGCCTTATTCTCCTCTTAGTGTTGTTTGTTATTGTTACTATATGTGCACAGTGAACCTATATTTTAAGATTGTAGGGTTGGTTGTGATCTGATGGCAGTGGGTTCCAAGTTTAAGAGTTAGTTGACTAGAAAATATTTCTTCTGAATGGAGAGTTGGGAGAGAAGTGATGCAAATAAGTTAAAGATATAAGCAAAAAAGAGTCTGGGCAAAGCTGAATACTGAAGTGAAAATTTTGTAACCAGTCTGACTGGAAGACAACTTTGGTACAGGCAAAGAAAACATAAACTCATCAGTGGCATGGCAGGGAGATGCTTTGGTTTCCAGGATCCCAGTCAGTATGTATCCATCTACCTAGAACATAGAGTGGGGAAGCGATTCTTGACTGAAAAGCTAGCCAATATCTAAGTTAGTAGACAAGCTGCAGAATCCAAACCTACTTTGAAGAAGAAGAAAGATCAAAAGCCCAGTATTTCAGAGCAGCTACACACATTCTTTTAGAGTCCTGGTGTGGTGCCTTAAGATAAGCACTCAAGATAAGCACTCGACCTCAAGGTCGGTTACAACCACAGGTCAGCAGTTCAAACTCACCAGCCATTTTTCAGAAGCCCTGTATAAGGCGACTATAAGTCAGAACCAACTCAATGGCACTTAGCAACAACACCACCCATTCATGATCAAATCTGATGTTTTTTAAATAAAATAATCATTGTCTTTATGCTCAGTAGTTGCTCCTTTAATTTTTCTTTCTGTATATTAGGAATTATTCATACTTGTCAGCACTACACAAGATGGGGGCATCTTGTTCAGTTCCAAGACAGAATGGCTAAAGAAAAAACAGCAACTTCTTAATTTAAATTTTCAGTGTTGATCCTTTGCCTTAATCTTCTGGAACTTTTCCTACCTATTGTCCTCTTTCCAGCCCACCTAAATATCTCCAGTCTTCAAGGAGTCTTATGAAAACCACCCAGTCTAAATAAAGCCCATCCCACCATGCTAAGTAAGCCTCAACACTCACCCAGGTGTTCTGTTTTGCTACCAAATCACTGCCCTCACCACCATCCCCTCGACAAATGTCAGCATTCAGCATGTACAATTCCAAACTTTTAGAAGTGATAGCATTCTTATCTTCTTTTCCAACATTCAGTTTTCAGGATATTATCTGTTAGATAGTGACATGGTCTGGTGGAGTGTCACATTAGCACATGGAATGCACCAGGCGCCATGAGCACACTGCAAATAGCAAAAGAGAACAAGGTGGGTTATCTCAATAGCTTTACATGTGGTATCAGGGGAATCTTCATTTATATAAGACTTTGCATTGCTGTGGCAAAGGAGACAAAAAACATATTTTTTTATTCATACTCACAACAAAAGTCTTTGATAGACTTGAAGGAGTTTTGTTGTAAGCATGAATATATAAATGTGAATATATGAAAAAAAAATAATATCATGTCTATATGTTGGTAGGAGTAATCCAGTACAAAAAAGAAAACAATGTAGGTGAGTAATGGTGTGGCAATGTAGGATAAGCACTCAACCACAAGGTCAGTTTGGACCATAAGTTCAGTGGTTCAAATTCATCAGCCACTCCTTGGAAACCCTGTACAGGGTCACTGTGAGTCAGAACTGACACAATGGCACTTAACAGCAACAAAGGTTTTTGGAGCGATGCCTTTGAAAATTGAAGAAAGATGGAATCTAGTATATATATGAAGGAATTGATCTTAGAAGCACAAACCATTCATCAAAAAGTCACAGGAGAGAAAGCAAAGTCTAAGTATACAGGCAACCAAGGAATAGGTGTGGTGATGGGAGTTTCTGGAATTCTCATCTGTCTCTTTTGGTCCTCAATGAAATATGAAGTAAGGCATCATCTAAAAGTGATGCTAGGTAAGGAGGTACAGGAGATCTGAGACAACAAAAATTGTGTGCCATTCTCCAGGATAGTGTGAAAATAAACACACCAGGGAAATATCGTATGATTTCAATGACTATGTACATGGCCAGAAATTTAAAATGAATCCCAATGGATGTTTTTCTCAGCCATGTTCAGCTGCAAGAATGCAGATAAGAATTAGGCATAGGGTTGGATTTAGCCAAGTGCATGGCTTTGCCTATCAAATACAATAATTGAAAAGCAAAGGAGTTGAGGGTGTATTATCTTAAAAGGTCAGGAAATACTTCCTCATGGATACCCTCATTTTACATTGTTGTTGTCGTTATGTGCCGTGGAGTCTGTTCCGATTCATAGCAGCCCTGTACAGGGTTTCCGAGGCTGTAAATCTTTACAGAAACAGAAAGCCTCATCTTTCTCTCATGGAACAGCTTGTAGTTTCAAACTGCTGGCCCTAAGGTTCGCAGCCAGATTCATAACCACTACACTAACCAAGATTGATTTATTTATATTTATAAATATAAAATTTTGTGTTTATATTAAAACTATCTGGGCATATAAACATTGCTAAAATATACATAAAACATCACCTTCTTTTTCTTTTTATATTCATTAATAGAGGAATTTTTAATTCATCTTCTCACTTAGGATCTTTTCTTTAATAGGATGACTCTATGCTAAGTCTCTGACATCAGGCACAGCAGAAGAGAGCAGACATTTACAAGGATAGTTACAACAATGTAGGTAGGAAAAATATAGGAAGCTATTTTTCATAATCTGCTGATTTTTAAAACAAATCTAACTCTGATGTGGGCTGTAGGATCAGCACTGAACTGCTGACACAAGGTTGGCAGTTCAAACCTACCAGCAGCTCCTTGGAAACCCTATACAGGGTCGCTATGAGTTGGAACCAATTCGATGGCACTTAACAACAACAACAACTCATACATATACAGCAACAGATCCATTAACATTTCCACAGGCATTTTCATTAATTCACTTAATAAATATGTATTGCATATCTGTCAGATGAAAATATTGAATTAAGCAAGCACCAAGGTGAGTTGGTGGACAAAACTGCAATATAGATCCTCAAGGTATTTTCAGTGTAAAAGAGGAAACTCATATATTTACAATAAATTATTATGCAAGGCAGGACAAAGAAAGCACAACAACATTCATTTATCTCATATACTTCTGCATACCATAGTGAGACTGAACCATAGACAGTTAATGAATATAGTAAGGCAGTGAATGAAATATAATTTCAAATACCTTCTTTAGACAACATAAGAGATGACTATGCACATGACCTCACCAGATGGAATACATTGAAATCAAATTGACTACATCTGTGGAAAGAGGTGATAGAAAAGCTCTATATCATCAGTGAAAACAAGGCCGGGGCAGACTGTGGAACAGACCATCAATTACTCAGAAGCAAATTCAAACTGAAACTAAAGAAAATTAAAACAAGTCCACAAGAGACAAAATATGACCTTAAATATATTTCACCTGAATTTAGAGATCATCTGAAGAACAGATTTGATACATTAAGCACTAAAGACAGAAGACCAGAAGAGTTGTGGGATAACATCAAGAACTTCATACATACATCATACATGAAGAAAGCAAAAATTCATTGAGAAGACAAGAAGGAAAAGGTCAAAATGGATGTCAGAAGAGACACTGAAGTTTGCTCTCTAGCATAGAGATGCTAAAGCAAATGGAAGAAATGAGGAGATACAAAAACTGAACAGAAAATTTCAAAGATCAGTTCAAGAAGATAAAGCCAAATACTACAAGAAAATGTGCAAAGATCTGGAATCAGAAAACCAAAAAGGAAAACCACATTCAGCATTTTTCAAGCTGGAGAAACTGAAGAAAAAAATTCAAGCCTCAACTTTTGCTATTGAAGGATTCTCTGGGCAAATTATTGAATGATGCAGAAAGCATCAAGAGAAGATGGAAGGAATACACAGAGTCACTGTACCAAAAGGAAATGGTTAATGTTCAACCATTTCAAGAGGTAATATATGATCAAGAGCCAATGATACTGAAGGAGGAAGTCCAAGGAGCATTGAAGGAATTGGCAAAGAACAAGGCACCAGGAATTGATGGGGGGGAAAAATTGAAAAATTTCAAGAAAGTGAGGTGGCACAGGAGGCACTCACTCATCTCTGCCAAGAAATTTGGAAAACAACTATCTGGCCGACTGATGGAAAGAAATCTGTATTTGTGTCCATTCCAAAGAGAAGTGACCCAATGGAATGCGGAAATCATCGGACAATCTCTTTGATATCCCATGTGAGTAAAGTTTTATTGAAGATAATACAGAAATGGCTACAATCATACATAAATTTGAAAATAGTGATATTATCTGGTCTTCCTTTTAGGAGTATGGATTCTACCCTATCATAGGACTTCAAGACAGACTTTGAAATGCTCTTTTTGACCATGAATGTGATGCCCTTCCTCTTTAGTTTATCATTCCCAGCATAGTAAATCATATGATTGTCTGATTCAAAATTACCAATACCAGTTAATTGCAGCTCATTAATGCCTAGGATATTGATCTTCATATGCTCCATTTAAGTTTTCACAACTTCTACTTTTCTTAGATTCATACTTCATACAGTCCATGTTCCAGCTATTAAATGGTACTTGTAGCTACTTCTCCTCATTTTGAGTCATGCCCCATCAGCAAATGATGGTCCCAAAAGCTTAACTCCCTCCAAGTCATTTAGCTCAGCTCTACTTTTAGAAGGCAGCCTACCTGATTCAGGGAAAACTGACTCTAAGATGGAGCTGCTCCTGGCAACCCCATCCTCTGCCCTGTGATTACTCAGCTCAACAGTACTTTTGGCCGCTAGTATTGGTCCAGGTACATTACCAAAGTCAGTCTGACATCAGGGAAAGGCTATTCTTTGACATAAACAAGGAAAAGCATGTTGGTCCAGTTTGCTGGCAGCCATCAGGGAAATTTTGTGGATGACCACCTGCAAAGTCATGATGTAAGGAACAGAGACAATAAAACAGCAGCAAGGCAGAGCCAGAGCTCCACTTTCAGCAGGCCTGGGGCATTCCCTACTTCTGGCTTTGTCTTCATATGGGATAATAACTTCCTTATTATTTTAGCCAGTTTAAGATAAATTTGGACTCTAGCTAAAAATATCTTTAGGCATCTGTATGAATAATTTCTTTCAGAAATATCACACAGGGCAGGTCCCTATGAGGTGGAAGTTAAAGATATCTCAAATACCTGACTTTTCCAATGTTACACCACTCCACAATCCCTAATATCAATCAACACTTCTCCCCTCCCTCGTGTTCCAGGATTCTGCAATGCACTTCTATGTCACACAGAGCTCACAACTATCAAGGAAATGGTTCACACAATTGTTGAAACTGGCAAGTCCAAAATCCATTGTTCAGAGGTCAGTCTGGAGGATTCTCCTCATCTACATAATCTCAGGGGCTGAGGAACCCAAATCAGCAGGTCAGACAACAGGCTGTTGAGGCACGAGGCTGTGGGAGTTGGTGAATCAGGTCAAGCAATGGGCTATTGGATGAACTGGATATCAGAGAGAGATGAGCCAGATGCAGGTCCAGAGTAAGAGGGAAGTTTGACAAAGCATTCCTAGATATTGCACTCAGACCACACCCCCAAAGAAAACTAAGGGTGGTGACTTGAGTCATACGCCCTAGAAAAGTGGGGGCATCCTTAATCCTTAGTTCCACCTAACCTTACTCCTTCTTGCTAAATGCCGTCAAGTCGGTTCCCACTTATAGCAACACTATATAGAATATCTGAGTTGCTGCTGGTGAACTTGAACCCCTGACCTTGCAGTTCAAACCGACCTTGCAGTTCAGCTCATTAGCCCACAGCACCACACCAGGACTCCAAAACCCTACCTTAATCTTTCTTCCTTAGTTCCATTTTAAATCCTGCCTCATTAACCGCTCACTTCAAAATGGGTCCATAATCACAGTATTTAAAATATATCACAAAATGGAGGGATATGACTGTATGGGCCATATGAAATAACCACCTTGTAGTATCCATACCACTGTAGTTTCTAAACTTTTATGCATATTGAAACCACTTGAGGATCTTCCAAAATTACTGATAATGTTGTGTTCCAATCAGATTATGATTTCATTGATCTGGGGTGTGTCTGGGTGAGCAAAGTATTTTCTAAACTTCCTTCATTCCTGGAGATTTTTTCCCTAAACTTAACACAGTTTCAAGAGCCTTCCCTCAAAAACTGGGAAGACAATTCTCTATAAACCATGTCCTTGGGGTCCCAAGTGTCTATAGTTAGTGGCCTCAACTGCTAATCAATAATTGTTTTCTTAAATCATAGCGTGGATCAAAGGAAATAGAGATGAACTAGAAGTGAAGGACTTGAGAGTTGGCTGCACCATTAACACACATTCTGACACACACTACTAAGCCTCAGTACCCTGTTGTTCTCTACCATGGAGTGGATTCAAGCTCATAGCGACACTACAGGACAGAACAGAACTGCCCCCGTTCCCCCATAGGGTTGAATAATCCCCCATAGGGTTGAATAATCTTTATTCAAGCAAATCTCCAGTTCTTTTCTCCCATGGCACCTCTAATTAGTTTGAACCACCAACCTTTTGATTAGAAACTAAATGTTTTAACCAGTGAACCATCAAGCTTTGTTCGCAGTATCCTACTGGGTGTTAAACTGAGAAAAATAGTATCTGTTCTACCTATATAACAGAGTTTTGTTAGCATGACATGAGACAACATATACCAAAAAAAAAAAAAAGAAAGAAAGAAAAAAGTTCTTTATAAATCTAAGATATTATTATGAAGAGCCCAGAAAGTTTAAAATGAAGTCTAGACCTAACCTTAACACTCACAACAATGTCAGCAGGATGAGATGGCTTGGGGAGGTCTATGTCCTCTGTCCACCTATCTCCTCACCTTCCCTTCATTCTTCCTCCCAGCACCCCCTATACAAAAGGAAGATTGTGATGAAAATCTAACTCTCAGACATCTCTTTGCCCCCATGTACTTTCAACCAGATTGCCAACCTCTGAGCCCCTCCTTTACAGGAATTATAGGGCTGCCGCTAATAAGCAGGAAAGTTATTTAGCTGCATTTTCCCCGTAGGTTTTTATAAGCACTCCACTTCCTCATCAAAAGTATACCTCTGGATACCACAATGTTTCATCAGCCCCCACTTCAATTATAATGTCTATCAAAAGAAGCTCTTGGGAGGCTTGAGTGCTAAGTGGGGAATGATTTGAGAGAGATGTGTAGGAAACTGTTTCAATATTTGGCAGTTCCTAAAGGCATGATGATTTGGAAAGATGTTTTCAAAAACACTTGATCAGCTCATTACACTATTTTCTAATTCTTGAAAATGCCTCATGATTAGAAAACTGCATTTGGTAGTTGCATCAAGGTAGAAATTTCATAAGCCAGAGGAGTATAATTATTAGTTAATCTTAGTCATTTATTTATATATGTTACATATATCACATAAGTGCATATATTTACTAGAAAATCAATCTTTTTTTCACAGATACCTCTATTGAAATATACCACTCTGAAACCAAAGATAGAGGCAATACCTCAAGAATTGAAACAACTAAAAGTCCTGCAAAACTGTACAAACTGACAACCATGAAATGAATATTTCATTTGGCAAAGCATCCAGTGAAAAGATCAGCATTTTTCCCAGTTGGTATTAAAGTCTGCCTGCAGGAATCTGTGAAACAAATTTTAGCCAATCTTCAAGTTTATTATAGGTTGAGAGGTAAGGAAAGAGATGAAATCTTTAATCTTCTGTTCTTTTCATCCTTTTCTTTCATTCCTCTATAGGTTGCCTTCAGCTCAAAACCTCCAAATACTTTCATTTACCCATTGTTGTTGTTGTTCAGTGCCGTCGAGTTAGTTCTGACCAATAGCAACCCTGTATAGGGTTTTTGAGGAGTAGCTGGTGAGCTTGAACCACCGATCTTCTGGTTCAAACAAACTTTGCTGTCCAGTATATTAACCGCAGTGCCACACCAAGACTCCCATTTAGCCATAAGAGTTGTAAAAATCAATTAACTAATCTAAAAGAAATCAGTTATAATCATTAAAAAAAAACATTGTAGAAATGTGCTCTTCTAGATTTAAAATAATGTCTTTTTCAGGGAATTTAATGAGTCAACAGAAAGTCTCAGTATCTGGGTGCCTCCTCTTTGTTTTCTTGTTCTGAATATTGGATGTGAATGTTGTTCTTATGAAGAGAGAAGCACAGGACGATAGTAGCAACAGGTACGAGAGTATGTTAATTTATGTTTTAAGATTTTATTCTTCAAATGCAATCAAGACCACTTCTTGATACATGAAAACTGTTTATTACAGAGCCAGAAAACAAACTCTGAAATCTGAAAACCTACAGATACATCCAAGTGCAAAGTAGTCACAAATTAACCATAGTTACAAAAATACAATGTAAATATGTTAACAGAATTTATAACACAATTACTGTGATTTCCAGCAGAGTTACAGTGTAGTTTTTACCTCAGGACAACATAACAAGATTCTAATAGCATTCCCAGAAATTTTTAAGGAGTTAAATCATACAAAGGCTACCAGTGACTCTTTTTCATTCAACAAGCACCAATGAAACGATTCCCATGGTTTTCTCTTAAGAAAAAGGAAAAGAAAGGGAAAAAACCTTTGATATCTACTATTAACTACTCTAGGTTGTTGTTAAGTGCTGTCAATTTGGTTCCTACTCATAGTACCCTATATAGGCTTTCCGAGGAGCCAGCTGGTGGGTTTGAACCACTGACTTTGCAGTTCAAAATGACCTTATGATTCAGTGTTTATCCTACAGTGCCACACTAGGACTCCTAAATACTCCAGGTTGTTGGTTGTTGTTGGTAAGTGCCGTTTAGTCAGTTACGACTCACAGCAATGCCGTACAGCGTTTTTGATAGAGCTTCAAATACTGCAAAATATCTGGTCTATATAAAGCTTAAATTCAATCTTAATTTCACATGTGACAGATGAAGAGGTTTGCTCACTAAATGTGTGCATCCATTCCAAAAAACATAGTCACTCTCATCTATTTAAAGGCCACAAAACTGAGAATTTGGTTCAATTCTAGCATGTGGTACACAATGTCAACTGAGAACATATTTCATGATACTAACATCCTGTAAATTTACAGTCTATGACAGTAAGATGCTCAAGGGTTGAGTTCATTTGGGAAGTTTTCATTGGGTGTTAAGTAAGATAAGGCAGCTCCTTCCATGAAGATTTACAGCTTCAGAAACCCTAGGAAGCAGTTCTACTCTACTTTGTAGGCTGCTATGAGTTACAATCAAACCAATGGCAGTGGGTTTGGTTTGGTTTGGGATTTATGGAATATAAGGGGCAGAATTAACCAATGGTCTAAAAAAATTCAAATATATTAAGCCTCTTTTCCTCATATGTCTCATTTTATGTGGAAGTAAAATGGTGTGGCACCACGGGTGAATGTGTTGGACTTCAAGGCTGGTTTGATCCACAAGGTGGGTGGTTCAAGCTCACCAGCCACTCCTCAGAATCTCTATACAAGGTTGCTATGAGTTGGAAATGACTCTATAACACTTAACAACAAAGAGATATTTGCTTTCTGACAGAAGTCACACCCACAGAATAATGAAAAGTACCGGATCATACTCAGGGGACTTACAGAAAATCATGTGTGCTATATTAGTTCCCTGAAGTCTTATCATACATAGTGCCTCCACTTAGCAAGTTCTCCACAAATACTTGTTGAGGGATAGAGGAAGGCAAGGAGCACATTGAGAATTTAAAAAAAAAAAAAAAGGGGGGGGGGTGTCATGTATAAATTATTCATTTGAATTTGCCTGCACATTGATCCTACCACCTGTCTGTCACTTTGTCATACTGTTGTGGCTTTTCTACTGCTGTGATTCTGGAAACTATGATACTGGTATTTTCAATACAAGCAGGGTCACCAGTGATAGATAGGTTTCAGCTTAGCTTCCAGACAAAGAAGAAGGAGAGGAAGACTACTTCTAAATGTTTAGCCACTGAAAACTTTATGAATAGTAGTGAAACACTGTCAAATAGCGCCAGAATACTGAATATTAAAACATGATAAATAGCAAAAGAATATTGTGAATGTAGTACTGGAAGATGAGGCCCTCAGGTTAGAAGATACTCAAACTATAAGTGAGAAGACGCAGCCAATTCAAAGTAGAGTTGACAAAGATGACATGAAAGAAGTTAAGCTTTCAGGATCTTCATTTGCTGATGGGGCACAACTCAAACTAAGGAGAAACAGCTGCAAACATCCATTAATAATAAGAACATGGAATATACAAAGTATAACCCTAGGAAAATCAGAAGTTGTCAACATGAAATGGAGCTCATAAAGATCAATATTTTAGGCATTCGAATCTTGGTCATTTTGAATCTGACAATCACATGGTTTACTATGGCTTGGAATGACAACTTGAAGAGGAATGGTGGCAGCAAGAACATTTGAAGATCTACCTTGAAGTATAATGCTTTCTATGGCAGGATACTATACATTTATCTACAAAAAGATCAGTTAATACTACTATTATTCAAATTTACACACTAACCACTAAAGCCAGTGGTGATGAAATTGAAGAATTCTACCAATTTCTTAAGTCAGAAATTTATCAAACATGTAATCAAGATGTGTTTATAATTACTGGTGATTGGAATGCAAAGGTTGGAAACAAAGTGGAAGGATCAGTAGTTGGAAATATAGCCTTGTTGATAGAAATAATGCTAGTGATCACATGATAGAATTCTGCAAGACTAATGATTTCTTCATTGCAAATATCTTTTTAAACAACAAAAAGATGGCTATCACATGGACCTCACTACATGAAATACAAAGAAATCTAGTTGACTACAGTTGGAGGATAAGACAATGGAAAAGCTCCATATCATCAGCTAAAACAAGGCCAGAGTATGCTGTTCATGTGAAAGTTCAAGCTGAAGCTGGAAAAAAAAAATTGACCTTGAACATATCCTACCTGAATTTAGAGAGCATCTCAAGAACAGATTTGATGCATTAGACACAAATGACTGAAGACCAGAAGAATTGTGAAATGACATCAAGAACATCATACAGGAAGAAATAAAAGGTCATTAATAAAACAAAAAATAAGTAAAAGACCAAACTGAATGTCAGAAGAGACTGTGAAACTTGCTCTGCTGCTTAGAGATGCTAAAATAAATGGAAGAAAATGAGGTAGTAAAAGAGCTGAACAGAAAATTTCAAAAGGCAGTTCAAGAAGACAAAATCAAGTATTATAATGAAATGTACAAAAACCTGGAATGATAAAACCAAAAGGAAAGCACACACTCAGCATTTTTCAAGCTGAAAGAACTGAAGAAAAAAATTCACACCTGGACTTGCAATATTGAAGGACATAGAAGGAATACACAGTCACTGTACCTAATAGAAATGGATGATGTTCAACCATTTCAAGAGATAGCATATGATCAAGAGCCAATGGTACTGAAGGAAGAAGTCCAAGGTGTACTGAAGGCATTGGCAAAGAACAAGGTTCTGGGAATTGATGGAATAGAAATTGAAATCTTTAAATAAATTGATGCAGCACTGGCAACTACTATTCATCTATGCCAAGAAATTTTTAAGACAGCTAGCTACCTGGTCAATTGATTGGAAGAGATCCATGTGTGTGCCCATACCAAAGAGAGGAGACCCAACAGAATGCAGAAATGATCGGAAAATATCGTTAATATCACATGCAAGTAAAATTTTGCCAAAGATAATTCAAAATGGCTGCAACATTACTCTGTCAGGGAACTGCCAGAGGTTCAAACCAGATTCAGACGTGGACACGGAACCAGGAAGTCAGATTGACCTTAGCTAAAAGCAGAGAATACCAGGATGATGTTAACCTGTGCTTTATCGACTATGCAAAAAAGCTTTCGACTGCGTGGATCATGAAAAGCTATTGACAACACTGCAGAGAATAAGTATTCTGGAATACTTAATCGTGTTCATGAGGAACCTGTACATAGACCAAGAGGCCATTGTTTGAGCAGAAAAAGGGGACACTGGATGCTTTAAAATTAGGAAAGATGTGCACCAGGGTTGTATTCTTTCAAACTGTACAGTGAATAAATAATCCAAGAAACTGGATTATGTGAAGAAGAATGTTGCCCAAGGATTGTAGGAAGACTCATTAACAACCTGTGATATGCAGATGATACAACCTTGCTTATGAAAGCAGAGAGCTTAAATACTTACTAATGAAGATCAAAGATCACAGCCTTCAATATGGGTTGCACCTCAACATAAAGGAAACAAAAATCCTCAGGAGTGGTCCAATAAATAAGAACATGATAATAAAGAAAAGAATGAAGTTGTCAAAGATTTCATTTTGCTTGGCTCCACAATCAACACTCACAGAAGCAGCAGTCAAGAAATTAAATGACATGTTGCATTAGGCAAATCTGCTGCACAAGACGTCTTCAAAGTGTTCAAGAGAAAGGTGTCAGTTTGAGGACTAAGGTAGACCTGACCTAAGTCATGGTATTTTCAATAACCTCATCGGTATGTGAAAGTTGGACACTAAATAAGGCAGACCTTAGAAGAATTGAAGCATTTGAGTTATGGTGATGGATTTGAGTTATGGTGATGGAGAAGAATATTGAAAACATTCTGCTAGAAAAACAAACAAATCTGTATTGGAGGAAGTACAGCCAGACTGCTCCTTAGAGGCCATGATGGTGAGACTT